AGAGAGAAAGCGAGAAATCACCCCCAGGGGGAATGGCCATGCTGCAATCCCTTCTCCTCCATTTTCCTCTCAGGATCTTGGGCAGCATGCACACATGCCTGGCATGAGTTTAAGCCACCGGGTCCAGGACTCAGACTGCGATCGGCTATGTGGAAGTCCAGCAACATAGCCATTACACTAACTACTGGTCCCTGTTTTGCAGAGGTTTTTGCTATAGGACATGTGCGCTTGCCAGAAAGAGACAGAGAGAGAGAGAAAGCGAGAAATCACCCCCCAGGGGGGATGGCCATGCTGCAATCCCTTCTCCATTCTCCTCTCGGGATTTTGGGCCGCACGCACTTGCGCCCGGCGTGAGTTTAAGCCACCCGGTCCGGGACTCAAACCGCGGTCGGCTATGTGGGAGTTCAGCGACATAGCCATTACGCTAACTGCTGGTCCCACCCAGCGTGAGTTTTAAGCTGTCTGGTCCGGGACTCAAACCACGTTGACTACTTGGGAGCCAGCAATATAACCTCTACTCCATCTGCTGGACCTTGTCTGTTTGTTTGGTTTTGGTTCCCCTTTGTAAACAAGGAAAGGGGATAGAGAGGGAAAGGAAGAAAAGACAGAAATGAGCATTTAAAAAGTATATTTATTTAATTTTGCTATTATTTTTCTTAAATTTTGTAAAAGCCACATGTGCTCACCAGAGAGACAGAGAGAGGGGAGGTGAGGAAGCGAGCTGCCAGGTCCAGGATTTGGCCATGTGGGAGTCAGTGCCTTAGCCGCTGTGCCACCTGCTGGCCAGAAATGGGCATTTTTGACAAGTTCTTGCTGTGTCATGCCCCTGTCCTAGCCTCCCAGGTGGCAGAAACACAGGAATATGCAAACACATCCTTGTTCAGATTGACGTGGGCGAGCACCGGGCCTTCCTGTGACTCCCAGCTTGCCCAGTGTGCGGTGTGCACACTAACGGCAGCTGCTCTGTGTGTGATCAAGTGAGTGGGTGGAGAGTCAGGCATTAGCGTGTTCCCCAGGTTGTTCACTTTGAATTCTGCTCCTCAGTGTGCTGATAGCTTGCTGTGACCTGCAACAAAGGGTTTGAACTGACTGCAAACTATTGACCCTTCTGTAAATAATACCCCTGCCTGTCACACACTAGTGCATTCCAACTCTGAGACGTGACAAGTTAGTGCATATACTTGTACGTTTTTGTTGGTTTATGTATATGTTTCTAAATGGTAAGTGTTTCGAACACCCCAGGGCCAGCCAGTGTGTTCTTTGGCTGATTTTTCTCATTTTCTTCTTTGGTCTACATCAGGGCAGTCGGGAGGGCTGGATTCAGGAAGCTCCACTCAACACACACAAGTAGGAGATCATGTGAGATCACCCCGTCACCTCCTGTGGGCAGACCGCAAGGGTAGGGGGTGCGTCTTCTCCTGCTGTGTAGCCAGGGCCCTCCTGTTCGAATGGGCCTGTGGTGCCATGGTTCCCACTCCACGAGGAAACACTAGTGAGAGAGAGTTGTTCAGGGACCGCGCCTCGCAGTTTCAGATGGCCGTTGCAGTGGCCTGGCTCCGTGTGACGCAATCTTCGTGAGTGAGGAAGTTGGCCCTGGGTTGTCTCTGAGTAAAGCGTGTAAGAGAGTCGTCACAGTTCCAGTCTTGCTCGTGGATAGTACGTGACAGCCTTGTTTCCTCTGATTTTCCCACTGGTTTTATCTTTCAGAGTAGCTGAAACCTTTGGATTTCAAGAAAATTACATCAAAATTGTCATCAACAAGAAGCAGCTTCAGCTAGGTATGTTGTGCCCGCGCGTGCAGTTTCCAGTCTGCCTAGCACAGAAAGAGTACCTTCCATTTTTTCTCGCTCTTCCTCTATTCAAAGCTGTCTAGCTTTATTACATTTATAATGTAAAACCAATTATTTTAGAAGTTTGCCAGGATAGAAATGTAAAGCAGAAAATGGCTTTTCCGGTCAACGTTTGACGCCTGCCCTGGGCTAGTGGGGAGCTGCTATTTGCTGAGCTGACCTAGCCCGGGAGACCTGGAGAGCTGAGGGGGAGACGGCGGAGACTGTGCTGCAGTGCTGGGGGCGTCCAGACTGAGGCCCCCTGTTGGAGCACTGCAGTGTCAGTTTGAGGAACTGAGAAGGCCTATGGGGCTGAGGGTAGAAGTGCGGGGCGGAGTGCTGTCTAAGAATGCGGGGCCAGGGGCCGGCAGGTGGCGTGGTGGTTAAGGTGCTGGACTCCCACATGGCCGACTGCCGTTCAAGTCCTGGACCTGGGGGCTTACTTTCTTACTTTCCCTTCCTCTCTCTCTGTCACTCTGTGGTCAAACTTAAAAAAAAAAAAAAACTAATGGATAACAACAAATAAATAAATCTTAAAAGAAGAAGAATGGAGGGCCAGGCAGGGGCCATGTGTATTCTTGTCGTGGTCCTCAACCAGGAGTGATCTGCCACCTACTGGGCACTTGGCAGTGTCTGGAGATGGTTTGGTTGTCATCTTGGGGGTGGAGGGAGGCGCTCTACTGGTACTCAGTGCGCTGAGGCCAGCGTGCTGCTTCGCACCGTAAGGCGTGGAGCAGCGCCTCCCAGCCAGCCCGCAGCACCGTGAGGCCTCTGAGACCTGGACTGGGCAGCCTTGTGTGGTGCTAGAGGGTTCCCCAAGAGAAGTGGTGGGGCTCACACAGATGGATTTGTGTGTTCAAGGTCACTTTGGCTGCAGGAGGGGCGTGGATTTGAAGGAGGCCGGAGTGGGCTGGGGAGGCAAGCAGGGCAGGCGGACCCATTCCCAGCGGGTCCCCGTGGCCTGAGTCACGCGCACGTTTCTGAGTGTGACCTCGCGTGGCCCCACACAGACCCTCTGCAGGCATTTCCTGTTCGAATGTCACCAATACCGTTTTACTGTGTTCATCCTGGTTATGATCTCCTTCATCCTTCATCGGACAGAGGTCCTTCATTTTGATGTTATCCAGTCCATCTCCTTATGGCTTGTGGTTTTTATTTATTTTTAGTTTTGCTGTAGTGCAGGTGTGCTCGCCCAGAGAGAGAGAAAGTGTGTGTGAGAGAGGGAAATGAGAAATCACCCCTTGGAGGAATGGTTGTGCTGCAGTCCCTCCTCCATTCTCCTCTCGGGATCTTGGTCACACACGCACGTGTGCCTGGCGTGTTTTTTCAAGCTGCTGGATCGGGACCTCTCACCACAAAGTGAGCCATGTGGGAGCCAGTGCCTTCACCACCACGCCACCGCCACCCGGCGGTCTTCCCCAGCCCAGGGCCACGTGGATAGTCTCCGTGTTCTTAGGTTACGTGTTAGCTCGCTGTGAAGGGGTCGATGATCTGTCCAGGCTCCCCTTTGAACACAGATGAGGACCCTGTTCCTTTTCCCCGACTATCACCTGCTAAACAGCCTGCCCTTGACTCACTCCTGGCACTGCCCCCTTCGTCAGTGTTTCAGCCTTCCTTCCTTCCTTCCTTTTCTTTGTTTGTTTATTTATTTTACTTAACAAAAAGTTTGTTATGAAAATGTACATGACCTGATTTTTACATCATCATAAAACAGGCCCATGGATGGGGGGACTTGGGTTTTTCTGCTGAACAGCCATTCTTCATACTCGGAAGGCTCCTAACATGACGATACTCTTCCTCACGTCACCACCGTTCCAGTGTGCTGTGGCCCGCCAGTTGCCATCTCCACACGTCCGTCTATCACGAGGTTCACACGTGCATCAGTTCCCCTCACCGTTCCTTGGACGTGTCCGCCACCGTTTCACTTCAGTGATAACTTCTTGTCCATACAGTTTTTCAATTCAGGAGGGTGAGCTTTGCTCATGGTACCTACTTGGTGGGCTCAGAGATGCCTTTTCTTTCCTTTTTTTAGAGAGTGTTTTTTTGCTCTAGGGGTAGGGTACATGCACTCACTGGAGAGACAGACAGAAAGCGAGAAATCACCCCTCAGGGAGGATGGCCGCAGTCCCTTCTCCTCCGTTCTCCTCTTGGGACCTTGGGCCTGGACGCACACATGAGCCCAGCGTGAGTTTTAAGCCACTGGGTCTGGGACTCGATCGCGATGTAGCCACTACACCATCTGCTGCTCCCAGTGTTTCTGCTTTTCTGTTCTTTCTGTTCCCTGTCGTGTTGTTATTACTGTGACTTCTTGTCGCCTTAAAATCTAACAAGGCGAGTCCCCTTCTTGGCTCTTCATCAAGGTGCCCGAACCATTGGTGGGTCTTCATTTTTGCATGTGAATGTTAGAATGGTTGTCAAATTTCTTTTTTTTCTTTTTTAAACTATGTATTTATTTAATTCCATTTGTTATTATATATTTTAATTTGACCAGAGAGAGAGAGAAAGGGAAGGGAGAAAGCAAGCTGCCGGGTCCAGGACTCGAATCACAGTCGGCCATGTGGGAATCCAGTGCCTTTAACCACCATGCCACCTGCTGGCCTAGTTGTCAAGTTTCTTTTAAAAAACATAGCTAGAGTTTCTAGAAATGTTCAAACTTGTGTTTCTGGTTCATAATGAGTAGTTTATCTTCTTTTTTTAATTGCCAGGAGGTACACGTATGTGCCGGAAGGTGGGGGGAGAGAGCACTCCCTCGTAAGGTGTGGTTGTGCCGCAGTCCCTTCTCCAGCCCTCCATTCTGTTGCCATCTGGGGCGCGAACGCGCATGTACAGCCCTGGGGCCAGGATTTGAACCGTGGTTGGCCATAGAAGATCCCGGTCCTTTAACGGTTGGCCGTGGGGCTGGCCGTATTTTATTACCTTGTGTCTGTGTTGGCCCTTTTTCGTTCCGTTTATCTGCATTTCTGACCTGATTTCGTTGGGTTTGTACAGGTCTTTTCATAGAGCTACCTTTCGATTTTGTTACCATTCTCTTTTGTTCTGTCTGGTTGATTTTCGCCCTTATTTTTATTTCTACTTTCTGTAGGAGAAAGCTGAGTCCGGGAAGATAAGAGTACACTCAGCCCCAGAGTTAGGGAGGGTGGGCCCGTGCTGTCAGCTCTGGCTGGAGGCCACCCTGTACTGCCGTGCGGGCCTTTTTGTCTGCTGCTGTAAACGGGGTGTGCCATGTTAGCGTGTGCTATACTTCATTTTCTCCCTTACTGCCTGTGTCCTTTCAGAGAGCCCCATGGCCTAGTGGTAAGGGAGCTGGACCCTACGTGATCAGCCACAGTGTGAATCCTGGCCCCAGCAGCTTGAGAAATGTGCATGCGTGCCCCGGACCACAGCGGATGGAGAGCTGGAGGGGCTGTGGCGTGATCACACCCTGCGAGGCGGTGCTTGCTTTCTCTCTCTAGCAAGTGCATGGACCGTCTGGCAATTAAAAAAGATCAACTAGTTTTTAGGGACTAGAAACAATTTTTGAGGACATTTCTGGAAAATTCTAGCTACGTTTTTTTTTTTATTTTGGATTGCCCGTGTGCTCCCCCACAGCACAGCAGCTTCTCAGCTACCCACTGCTTCAGTATGGTCTTACGACAGAAAGAAGACTGGACGGCTGGACGGTGGCGCTGCTGTGACCACAGTGCTCTGAGAGGCTGGCCCCGTGGGAGGGTTCAGGCTCTTACCCGGAGCCCTCCCTGAGTACTGGGCACACATGTGCCATGATCGGGGGCTGGCTCAGATTGGGGCTGGAACATGGCGTCAAGATCCTGGGGTGCTATCACATTCATGGAAGAAATAAATAAACTGAAAAAGAAAGAATGGTAAAGGGTGAGCTGAGCTGGCTGTCTCCAGGGCTGAGCTTAGCTGCCACTTAATGGTAACATAGTTGCACAACCAAGGTTTTTTCTTTTTCTTTTTTTTTTTTTTTTTTTTGAGAGGTTTTTGCTGTAGGGCACATGTCATCGCCCAAAAGAGAGAGAAAGACAGAAAGCGAGAAATCACTCCCCAGGGGGATGGCCACACTGCAATCCCTTCTCCTCCATTCTCCTCTTGAGATCTTGGGCATGCACGCGCATGCATCTGGCGTGAGTTTAAGCCACTGGGTCTGGGACTTGAACAACGGTTGACCACATGGGAGTCTAGCGACATAGCCATTACGCCAACTGCTGGTCCCTACAACCAAGTTTAAACATTTTTTAGCAGTCAGGTGGCACAGGGGTTTGCAGGTGTGGTTACTGCAGGTTTAAGAATTCTGCATTGTATATGTAGTAAATGTCATAGCTTTTCACAGTACATGGCTCTGCACTCACAGGGAAAACCCTTGAAGAACAAGGTGTGACACACAACGTCAAAGCCATGGTCCTTGAACTAAAGCATTCTGAAGAGGATGTCAGGAAGAACTTCCAGGTAGAGGAAGAGGAACAAAACGAGGCTGAACTCAAGGAAAAGCGAATCCAGAGGACCAAGAGAGGGCTGGAGATACTGGCGGAGAGAGGTACCCGAGCTCTGGGTGCAGCCCTGCACCACGCGGGGGCCACGGCCACGTGGATGGGGTTGCGCTTCACTCACCGTGGTGTTTCAGAATTGGGACTTTTGTGGGACAGCAAATGGCATGATGCTTACATCATTGGACACCCATGTGGTTGACCATGGTTCGAGTCCTGGACCTGGTGGCTTAAAACTCATGCTGGGCATGTTCGTGCATACCCAAAGTCCCTAGAGGAGAATGGAAGAGAAGGGATTGGAACATGGCCATCCCCTCTGGGGAGTGATTTCTCACCTTCTGTCTGTCTGTCTCTGTCTCTCCAGTGAGTGCATGCACCCTATAGCAAAAATCTCTCCCCACCAAAAAAAAAAAAAAACCTAAAAAAAGAAGTGGATATTTTTTTAGTGCCAGAGGGCTTGTATGCTTGCCCCAGAGAGAGGGAGAAAGAACTGCCCAAGGAGGGGTTGGTCATGCCACAGTCCCTTCTCCATTGCTCCATCTTGTTACCAGGGCCGGAATTCAAACCATCTGCAGCCTTGTGGGACCAGGCTCCCTTAACCACTGGCCATGGGGGGCAGCTCTTTTTTGGCACTGTCACTGTCACTGCTTTTTAATGTTGAATTAACCGGAGTTCCCTTGGGTTTTGCAGCCGAGATGGTGGTGGACCCAGAAACCACACCGTACTTAGACATAGCCAACCAGACCGGCAGGTCCATCAGAATCCCCCCATCAGAAAGGAAAGTAAGTACTGTGAGAAGGGTGGGCTTCATCCTTGGAAGTCTTGCCAGAACAGACGTGGTTTTTACTCTGTCTGGGAATGTTATAAAGGCCTACCCACCGCTGTCCATGTCCAGTCGTAAAGAAGGACACGAGCATGCGACGGGCCGTGCACACAGCAGGCCTTGCCCTGTGGTCCGCGGTGCAGTGTGCAGAATGTCATGGCCGTGCTGTCCTGCAGCAGTGAGTGGCACAACCCACCGCCGGCAGCGTAAGTGGTTTCCCGTGGCAGAGGGGAGGTTGGCTAATTTCCCTAGAGGGCCATGTCCCGTAAAGAGTGGATGAGAATAGGGTGGGACTGTGCAGTTCAGGGAAGCTCTGCGGGTGACTTCGACATGACTCCCTTGTCTCATACCCCGTCCTCTGCTCTGCGCTTGGAACAGTAGCAGAGGGTTTCCTCCGTGAGGGTATCCACAGGGTCTTCAGAACAGCGTTCTACGACCCGGACCCAGCTCCAAGCGAGGGGCCGGTAGCTCATAGAAAAGAGCTTGCCTGCCCATGGGCAGAGTTAATTTAAATTTTTCTCTTTAAAGGACAGTTTTGAGTAGACTTCACTACATGAATTATTCTACTTTAAATGAAGGCTAGAGTTTAGTTTTAATAAGAGAATTTTGTGCACTTTATGGATTGATTTTTTTTTAATTGGTCACTATTTGCACACTGTTCTCACATTAAATGCTGACGTTCATATCTTTTTGAAAGACTTTTATAAGGCTGAGTTATGTGAAAATTCAAGTCTAAGAAAAATTAACTTCAAAAAATTTTGGATCCCTTTTAAAGATTGTTTTGGAAACATTAGAGTTGACAGATACTTCAAAAAAACTTGGTGATGATCAAGACGAGAAAGTGCAGTGAATGTTCCTTTGAAGCCAGGCGCTCGACTGCACTGGCTGCTGGACCGCGAGCAGCACCCCCGCCAGCAGCCCTGCTGCCTTCCGTGCGTTCCGTCTCACCAGACCAGAGCCAGGCCTGGACGGCAGACGGAGGCGCACTGAGGAGACCAAAGGGAAGGTGCTGCTCACGGCCCAGCGGCCACGTTCAGTCTTGCGCTTGGGTTCAGTCTCTTAAGTGGAATAAAGCTTTCATTGTATTTTTCTTTTTTTTTCTAGAATTGTTTTTTATTTAACTTTATTTATCTATTTTTAATTTGACCTGAGAGGGACAGAGCAAGAGTAAGAGTGAGCGAGTGAGATAGCGAGTGAAAGAAAGCAAGCAAGCCTCCAGGTCTGGGACTCCAACCGTGGTCAGCCATGTGGGAGTCCAGTGCCCTTAACCACCATGCCACCTGCCGGCCCCTTTAATTGTATTTTTCTTACTTTTGACTTTCAGATTGAGTTATGGTCCTGTTTTATGTATTTGACTTTTTTTTTAAAGAATTATTTTATTAAACTTTACTTTTTTTTTTTCTGGAGAGGTTTTTGCTATAGGGCGCGTGCGCTCGCCAGACAGAGAGACAGAAAGCGAGAAATCACCCCCCCCAGGGGGGATGGCCACGCCGCAATCCCTTCTCCTCTGTTCTCCTCTCAGGATATTGGGCACGCACGCACATGTGCCTGGTGTGAGTTTTAAGCCACCGGGTCTAGGACATGAACCGCGGTTGACTACATGGGAGTCCAGCGACATAGCCATTATGCTAACTGCTGGTCCCACACTTTACTTATTTTTGATTTGACCAGAATGTGTGTGAGAAAGAGAGGGAGAGGCAGGGGGAAGTGAAAAAGCAAGCTGCCAGGTCTGGGACTTGAACCGCAGTCGGCCATGTGCTAGTCCAGCACCCTTAATTACTAGGTCACCTGCCAGCCCCATATTTTACTTTTAAATAATTAATGTGTTTTTAATATAGTCTGTTTTATTTACATTTTAAAGTGAGGCTTTTAAAATGTGTTTTTTCCTAGGCCCTCATGTTAGCTATGGGATACCACGAGAAGGGCAGAGCTTTCCTGAAAAGGCAGGAGTACGGGATAGCCTTGCCGTGCCTGTTGGATGCTGACCGATACTTCTGGTAGGGACTTTGCACCTGGAGAAAGGCTGTTGGAAGGAAGATGTCCCACTGCCAGGTGGCCAGTGCTGCGGTCGGGGGCCTCAGAGCACTTGGAAGGGTCTGCCTCAGTAGTGGGCAGAGTTTGCCCTAATGGCTGCTTAGTCCCATCCAGCAAAGCTTAAAAGCTGGCCTTGACCACTGGCCATAGGTTACTGTTCTGAAGTCTCTTAAGTGTATCCCTCACAAAGCTCAGTGACTTAGTAATACAAAAATACCCAACATCTGGGGCTGGCCCCACAGCACAGTGGTTAAGGGAGCCAGATCCCACGTGGCTCATGATCCCAGATTTAGCCTGGTTTGAATCCTAGCCCTGGTGACTTGAAAAACACATCAGGTGCATGTGCATGGATACCCCAAAATCTGACGGGATGGAAGGAGAGAGGAAAAAGGATTGTGACGTGACCATGCCCCATTGGGGGTTCTCTCTCTTTCTCCCTCCTCTTTCTCTGTCTCTGGTGAACACATGTACATTCTGGCAATAAAATAGAAAAAGAAAGAATGAAAGATACTTTAAAAAATACTGAGGGACCAGCAGCTGGCATGTTTGTTGGGGTGCTGGACTCCCACATGACTGACCGTGGTTCAAATCCCAGATCTGGCTGCTTATTTTCTCCCTTTTCTTTTCTGTCTGTCTCTGGTCAAATTAAAAAAACAATTATAAATTGAATAAATAATTATTTTAAAAAATACTGAACATCCAATTACAAATTCGAAGTCATGCAAAGAAATAAGACATTACAATCTACAATGAAGAGGAAAATTATTCAGTAAAAACAGACCCAGAAGTGACACAAGGATTGGATTAAGAGACAAGAACGTTAAACAGTGACTGTATTTCCTGTGTTCAGAAAGGTAGAGGACGTCTCAAGCGTGTCAGGTAAAGACGTGGGAGATTTAGCAAATTCCCACTTTGGAATTTAAGAGCTAAGAGGTACTTTGAGTGGGATTGACCAGAGCATAGACGCTGCCCCAGAGATCTGTGACTGTGAAGACAAGGCAGTAGAGAGCATCCAGCACGGGGCCAGCCCACCAGTGGCCTGGTGGTTCATGTGGCCGCATCCCACATGGTTCTCCATGCAGTTTGATCCCAGATCCAGCAGCTTGAAAACCACACCAGGTTCACGTTTGTGTGTGTGTATGTGCCTAAAATCCCAAAAGGAGAATGGAGAAGGGGTTGTGGCATGGCCATCCCCATGGGGGTGCTTCTTTATTTCTATCTGTCTTTCTGTCTGGCAAGTGCATGTTCCCTCTAGCAAATTAGAAAAGGAAAAAAAAAATATGCAGCATGAAGCACAAAAAGGACTGGAGGAAACGAGAGAGCGTCTGCAGGCGGTGGGGTGACTTTGGGTAGCCTGTACATGTGTGAGTAGAGTCCCTGGAAAGGGAGATGCATGAGTAGGAAGAATATTTAAAAAAATATGTCCAGATTTTCCTCGGTTTGATGAAAATGATAAATCTTACAGTAATCTTCAGGTATAAGAAATATTTTAAAAAGGAGCTGGCAGGTGGCATGGTGGTTAAGGGTGCTGGACACCCATATGATTGACCACGGTTTGAGTCCTAGACCTGGTAGCTTGTTTTCCTACTTTACCTCTCTCTTTCTGGTCAAATTAAAATAAATGAATAAAGTTAAATAAAATAATGCTTTCCCCCAAAAAAGAAATATTAATAATAGAAAAACAAACAAACAAAAAATAAACAACCCTACACCAAGGCACCCTCTAATACACTTTCTTAAAATCAGTATCCAGGGACCAGTAGACGGCATAATGGTTATGTCACTGGACTCCCATCGATTGTAGTTTGAGTCTTGGATCCAGTGGCTTAAAACTCACGTAGGGCATGTGTACCTGCGTGCCCCAAATCCTGAGAGAATAGAGAAGAAGGGATTGTGGTGTGGCCATCTCCCCTGGGCGGGGTGATTCTCACTCTCTGTCTCTCTTTCTCTCTATGTGTCTCTGGCGAGTACAGGCACCCTATAGCAAAGATCTCTCTTAAAAACAATTAAAACCAGTAATCCAGGTGGAGTATCCCTTTTCCAAAATGCCTAAGGCCAGAAATATGTCCGAGAGTAGGTCTCCTCAGGTTTGGGAAGATTTGCATATACCTAGTGACCATTTGGGGGCTGGCTCTAAGTCACGAAGTCGTGTTCCGGGAGTGACTGCCGTGCACACGGCCTGGGGCAGTGTGTGTCACGCTCCTGTGTTACAGCCATCACTGACCCTGGGCTCAGCTGCAGCAGCTTCTGCCTCTGGCATCATGTCAGTGCTCAATGGTTTTGGAATTTGGGCCATTACAGATTCTGGATTTTCTAATTAGGGACATTCAACCTATAAAACTAAAAATAAAAATGGCTTTTTAACCAGTTTTTCTTGAAAATAGATACTTAAACTTTGCCTAACTTTCTTGAAATAAATGTCTTTATTTTACATGCAAGTTTTAAACTCAAGGGAAACAATAAATTTCTATTAAATAACTGATTTCAAATAGGATTTAATTTTTCTAAAGCTAGGCTCAATAGATTTTATTTAAATGTACATTTAATTAATGTCGTTTTTGGGAGAGACTATAGAGCACATGTGCTCTTGGGAAAGACAGAGACAGAGAGCGAGAGGTCAACCCCGGGGGGATGGCCATGCTGCAGTCCCTTCTCCATTCTCCCCTCGGGATTTTGGGCAGGCATGCACACATGCCCAGCGTGAGTTTAAGCCATCAGGTCCGGGACTGGGACTGTGGTCAACTATGTGGGAGTCCAGCGATGTAAAACATTTCGCCATCTGCTGGTCCCAAATTAATGTTATTTTCAACATGAAAATTGATAGCATTGAATTTAAAAAAAATTTTTTTTTTTTTAAAGAAGAATTTTTATTGGAACCAACAGTTGGCATAATGGCAATGTTGTTGGACTCTCATGTTGTCAACTGCAAATCGAGTCCTGGACCCGGTGGCTTAAACTCATGCTGGGTGCATGTGCGTGTGTGCCCAAGATCCTGAGAGGAGAAGGAGGAGAAGGGATTGTGGCATGGCCATCCCCCCTGGGGGGTAATTTCTTGCTTTTTATCTCTCTGTCTCTGTCTTTTTGACAAGCGCATGTGCCCTATAACAAAAACCTCCCTGAAAAAAAAAAGAAAGAATTATTTTATTTAACTTTATTTATTCATTTGTTTAAATTTGACCAGAAAGGGATAGAGAGAGAGAGAAAGTGAGAAAGCAAGCCGCCAGATCCAGGACTTGAACCACGGTTGGCCATGTGGGAATCTAGTGCCCTTAACCACCATGCCACCTACTAGCCCCTTAAACTATTTTTTTAAGAACCAAGTATCTGCACAGCAAAAATTTTATTTATTCATTCATTTATTTTAACTTGACCAGAGAGAGACAGACAAAGAAAGTGGAAAAGCAAGCCACCAGGTCCTGGACTCGAACTGTGGTCGGCCATGTGGAAGTTCAACATCTTAACCACCACGCCACCTGCTGGTCCCAACAGCATTGAGTATTAAAGCTTCTAAAACCATAAATCAAAGCAATATTAATAAAAATATATTCTCATTATAGGGTTTTTTAAAAGAATTATTTTGTATTTAACTTTATTTACTTACTTTTTTTTTCTTTTTTTTTGAGATGTTTTCACTATAGGGTGCGTGTGCTCGCCAGACAGACAGAGACATAGAGACAGAAAGCGAGAAATCACCCCCCAGGGGGGATGGTCACGCCGCAATCCCTTCTCCTCCATTCTCCTCTTGGGATCTTGGGCGCGCACGCACATGCGCCCGGCGTGAGTTTTAAGCCACCAGGTCCGGGACGCGAACCGCGGTCGACTTCGTGGGAGTCCAGCAACATAGCCATTACGCTACCTGCTGGTTCCCATATTTACTTCTTTTTAAAATTTGACCAGAGAGGGACAGCAAGAGATTGGGGGGGGAGGGGAGTGAGAAAGCAAGCTGTCAGATCTGGAACGCAGACTGTGGTCGGCCACCGGGAGTCCAGCCTTAACCTCCATGCCACTTGCTGACCTTAAGACGTTTTCTTCCATGGTCAGGCTTGTCTACAGACCGGGCAGTTTCACAGTTGTTCTGTGCCATGTTGATTTCTTGGAGCTGGAGGGATGAGCTGTGCCTCTCTGATGTGAGCCCCGTGCTTTGCTCTTGTTCCGTTTTTGCTGTGCAGATACTTGGTTCTAGGTCAGACTTGGCATAAACACCGTTGGTTTTAATTGAAACGAGGCCATCCCTGTCTGTCTCTTGAAGTTTATTAAACGTGAAGGCACTTGTTTATGTAAGGAACTGGAGAGTGTGGCAAGATGTCCGGCTGTCCTGTGCACGTTAGGTCAGTCTCGTCACAGAACACAGTCTGCCCAGTACTCCCCCGAGTGTGCCATCAGACCGTGTCTGCAGTTCTTCCTCTTCTCTTAAGGCCAGGTTCTCGGCTTGAGTGGGTTTGGAGGAAGCACCCCTTACCCAGTCCTGCACTATGTGCACACGTGTGTGTGTGTGTATGTGTGTGTGTTTAGAAAATGGGTGTAGAGCTAATCAGACATTCTCGAAGAATAGAGATGTGGAAAGAAACTGCAGGGTTGGCTTTGTGGCCTGGTGGTTCAGACGGCTAGATCCCGCATGGCTAACCACACGGTTCAAGTCCTGTCCCTGGTGGCTTGAGAAACACGCCAGGCATTTGTACGAGCATGCCCAGAATCCCAGAAGGAAGGGCAGCTGGAGGAGAGTGTCCCCCAGCACCCCGTCTCTTTGCCTCTCTGTAGCAACTGCACACACCCTCCAGCATAAAACAAAAACTTTAGATCAATAGAAATGATGCTCTCACACTTCAATATACTTACTCCTCTGCTCTTGCCACTGTGGACAGTCTGTACAGGCCAGCCCTACTCCTAGGAAGCCTTCTTCTAAATTTAATTTTACTGTTTTTACTAGATTGTGCATATGTTCACCCAGAGGCAGACAAACAGGGAAGGGGAGGGGTGAGAGGGCACCTTCTCCATGGGAAGCCACAGTCCCCGTTTCTCCATTTCTCTCTCCTTTTGGGTTTGGGCACGCATGCACATGTGCCTGGCTTGTTTTTCAAGCTGCTGGGTCCAGGACTTGAACTGTGCAGTCAGCCATTTGAGATCCAACTGCCTTAATCACCGCACCATTGGCTGGCTCAGAAAACCGTCGTTTAACCACCTCGCCGCTAACTGGCCCAGGGTTTTAAAGAATAAATAAAATCCGATTCCTTGTGGCTTTTCTCTCTTTCTTTTTTCTGGGCGTATTTAGGTAGGCAATACAGGAAGCTCGAGGGCGTGTGGGTAATGCAGTTTTAACAAGAGCAGTCAGAACGCTGATGAAAACAAACAGCTGCCGCCTTTGACATTTGCTAATGCATAATGCATGGTTACAAATTTTCCTTTCTTGTGGCAGACTGGAGATCTAGATTTGCCTTATGAATTTTTAACAGAATGACAACTTAAAATCAATGAGTCATCTTGATGGCGCTCTCGTCAGCACGCCTCCAGACCCAGACTGACTCGTTAGTTAGTTCGTTGGTTCCTTGTCTCCGTCCATCCTCTGTGCCTGGCTCAGCCCCCTGCTGCTCAGCACAGCTGCCTGCACTGCACTTTCGGAGATCAGCCAGGAGATCAGCCAGGCACCGGGGCCTGGGTTTCTGGGTGGCCTTTCTTCCCAGGGTGCATGTGATTGAAATGCATGCCTTGTAAGTAGGGATTGGGGTGTGTCTTCATTTTCCTTTTTTTAATTGCCTGAGGGCACCTGCAGTTGGCAGAGGAAGGGAGAGAGGGAGCAGGGGAGAGTACCCCACAGGCTGGGGTCGCAGCACATCCCTTTCCTCAGTTTCTCCATCCTGCTGGCATTTGGGGCATGTGCACACACCCACTGGTGTGCCTTTTTTTTTTTTTTTTCTCAGAGAGGTTTTTGCTATAGGATGTGTGTGCTTGCCAGAAAGACAGAGAGACGGAAAGTGAGAAATCACCCCCCAGGGGGGATGGCCACACCGCAATCCTTTCTCCTCCATTCTCCTCTTGGGATCGTGGCCACACACATGCACCTGGCGTGAGTTTAAGCCACCGGGTCTGGGACGCGAACCGCGGTCGACTACATGGGAGTCCAGCGACATAGCCATTACACTAACTGCTGGTCCCCCACTGGTGTGCCTTTCGAGCTGCTAGGGCTGGGTTAGAACCGTGGTCAGCCTTGTGGGCTCTGCCTCCCTCCCCACTGTTAAGGCGGCGGTGCTCCATCTCAGCTGTACGTCAGCTCACTGGGAAGAGCTCAGAAATAGACATGCGGCCCCAGCCGAGTTGTCTGTTACAATGGATCTAGTGGGATCCCATCAGTGTTTCTCCAGGAGAAAGGAAAGAAAGTTCCTCCTGTTCAGGTGACTTTACTTTGCAGTCAGAGTTGGAACCACTGTTTTCAAGCATGTCTACAGAGGTTCTGCTTCCCTCGAGGTCCAGACACTGTCTGTCCTGGGGCAGGCGATGTTAGATGGCTGTTCCTCAGCCCTCATTTCCTTTTTCCCATTGGCAAGATGGAAATGACCAACACAGCTTTCTGCGTGAACACTGGGATCCCTGTCTTAACGCAGTCAGTCTTTAAAAATACCCCCAGGACAGGGGAAGGGTTCCAGTAACCCACGGTGAGGCGCCAAAGGCTGCTGCCATCAGTGACCCTGTCCCTCCCCCAGCGAGTGCTGCAGAGAGCTGCTGGACACAGTGGACAACTACGCCGTGCTGCAGCTGGACATCGTGTGGTGCTACTTCCGCCTGGGGCAGCTGGAATGCCTGGACGATGCAGAGAAGAAGTTGAACTTGGCTCAGAAATGCTTCAAAAACTGTTATGGAGAAAACCACCAGAGACTGGTGCACATAAAAGTAGGTGCCTGACATTCGTCCTGTTCCTGAGCCCATTTCAAGGACTTGTGTTTGCTCCTGTTAGAATATTCAGGCCGCCGCTGAAGAGGCCCTCATTTTGGTAGTGGTATGCAGTGCGCTCTTTCTCAGCTGTACGTATATATTATTTTAATTTGCCTGAGGGCAGTGTGCTCGCAGGATGGAGGTGAGAAAGCATCCTCGTGGAGCGTGGACGCGGCAGTCCTCTGTCCCCCATCTCCCTCCTTTTGGGATCTTGGGCTTGCATGCACGTGTGCCTGGTGTGTTTTGCACGCCGCTGGGCCTGAGACGTGAGCTGTGTGATGGGCTGTGTGGGATCCAGCTGCCTTAACCACCTTCAGCTGGCCCTCTAAGCTGTGTTTTTAGAGTGTAATTGTGCAGTTCAGTTGTGTGTCTGGATTGTGGGAATTTAGTTCATAAGAATACACTTCTGTGGGACCAGCAGTTAGTGGAATGGTTATGTTGCTGTACTCCCATGTAGTCGACCGCGGTTCGAGTTCCGGATCTGATGGCTTAAATTCACACTGGGCACATGTGTGTGCATATGTGCGTGCATGCCTAAAATCTCGAGAGGAGAACGGAGGAGAAGGGATTGCGGCATGGCCATCTCCCCTTGGGGGAGAGATTTCTCGCTTTCTGTCTCTCTGTCTCTCTGTCTTTCTGGTGAGCGCACGTGCCCTATAGCAAAAACCTCTCTAAAAAAAAAAAAGAAGAAAGAACACACTTCTGTCATAGGCCTCTGTCACTGGTTGCCTGGCTGGGAGAGAGCTGGGACTCTGATGCAGGTGTAAATACAGAGAGCAGATGCTTAGGCAGTAGGGGCTCGCTCAGATGCAGCTCACACAGCTTGAGGGCGTGATTTGAGTGAGGAGCCTCCTGATTTCCCCGAGGTGCCATCCCACTCACGCAGAATGTCTCATGCTTGGTTTGGGTTGTGCGTACCTCCCTGCTGGGTGCAGGGCCACCCTCCTGGATGTCTGGGGGCAGGTACTCCTGTGTGATGCAGGGAATGTCCTTGTGCTCGGGGGCTTTACTGTTGCCATCAGCAAGACTACCATTCTGTTCCCTGGGAGTCAAAGGGGGGTACAGATGCCTAGAAATAAGACTGGCTTATCCTTCTCCCCCATAACTGTAGGGAAACTGCGGGAAAGAGAAGGTGTTGTTTTTAAGACTCTACTTGCTTCAAGGGATCCGGAACTATCACAGTGGGAATGGTGAAGAGGCTCGTGAGTATCTCAACAAGGTAAGGAAAGGAAGTCGCCAGTCCAGTCCCCAAGCTGCAGCTTTGGTAAACTCAGCAGCCTGTGACTCATGGGAGGGCTGCCCTGCTCCTGTGCCCTCTCCGTCATGGAAGCCTTAACCATGTTCGTATTTGTCAGGGTGCAGGACTTCAGTTGGATAGCAGTGTGCGTCTCCCATCTAGCTGTCTAGAGGCGACCGAGGCCGCGTGCAGCGCTCAGCCAGCCTCCGCACGTGGCAACCCAAGTCACCACTCTGTGCCTCTCCCACTGGCAGAGGGGCAGAGTGAGTCCAGGGCAGGCCTCTCTAGAGAGGGGACCCAGAAGCTGCATCCAAAACTTTGGCCGTGTGCCAGTGGCCTAGACTTAACCGGTGGCCTCGCCATGCTGTGAAGGAGGGTGAGAAATGCCACATGCACAGCTCAGATGTGGGAATTTACTAAAAGGAGGGGATAGCACATGCCAGTCGCTCCCACTTGTGTACCTTGTGGTCTGAATGAGTTAGGTGGGCAGAGAACGGTCTGTCCCCCCGTGCTAGTTAGCGGTGCCGTCATTAGAGCTCTCCCCCAGGTCTGACTCGTTTATCACTCACACCGGCACGGCCTAGTTTCTGTGAGGGTTAGCTCTAAGCTTACACATTGCCGTAGTAACATGGTTGTGATGTTCCTCCTTGTCCGTAGGCACGCCAGCTCTTTAAGGAGCTCTACATTGATCCTTCCAAAGTTCACAATTTGTTGCAGTTGGGATTTACTGCCCAGGAAGCCCGGCTTGGCCTCAGGGCATGTGATGGGAACGTGGACCATGCAGCCACTCATATCACCAACCGCAGAGAGGTACCGTGTTTTTGTTTCTCTAAGTTTCTTTCTTTCTTCCACGAGACAGACAGACACAGAGACCTAGAGACAGGTACCCAAAAGGGTCTTCACGACTCATCCCCAGCTTCAGCCAGCCTGGCTGACACACGTGTGCCCCTAGTGTGCCCAGGGGTGCCCTGCGTAGGAGCCTGCCCTTCCCTGTGGTCCAGCTGTGTCACTGTCATACTGCTGCCTGGCCCTGGCCCTGTCCTCGTGTGGCCATGGCAGTGCTTGGCTGCAGCCTGTGCCTTTGCGCAGGCTGTGAAACTTGAGGCATTGCAGGTGTATTTCAGAAATACCATGGTGCGCTTGGTGTAGGGGTGCAAAAGAGTTCAGAGAAGCCACGCCACAGCAGGCGTTAGTAACCGGGAGCTCAGCGCTCCATGGAGCACGGAGAAGCCACACCGCAGCAGGCGTTAGTAACCGGGAGCTCAGCGTCCACAGAGCGTGGAGAAGCCACGCTGCAGCGGCCCTTAGTAACCGGGAGCTCAGCGTCCGCGGAGCACGGAGAAGCTATGCCGCAGCGGGCCTTAGTAACCGGGAGCTCAGCGCCTGTGGAGTGCGGAGAAGCTCGCTCATTACGCCAGTGCTCACACAGTGCAGTGGCCCGGGCTGGCTCTGTCGTAGCAGGAGGTTACACAGGTAGCCTCTAAGTTCTCTCTGCCTTTTTTAAACACCGTAGTGTCCTTCTGGAAACCAGTTTAAAGGAAACTATACTTTTCTTTGGGGTCATTGCTACACTTTGGGGTTGTGTTCTTGCCTGTAAACGTGAGTTACATAGTAGAAGCAGGTCGTGTTTTACTGTGAAAGCACGGGTGGAAACTACCGTTTAAGGGCATTAAAGAAAACTACAGGGCCAACTGGGGGGCGTGGCGGCTACAGAGGCTGGATCCCACTTGGCCGACTGCGTTGTTGGAGTCCCAGACCTGGTGGCTTTAAAACCATGCTGGGCACGTGTGTGTGCATACCCAAATCTTGAGAGGAGAAGGGACTGTGGTATGGGCACCCCAGGCGGTGTTTTCTCACTTTCTCTCTCTCTCTCTCTCTCTCTCGTAAGCACACATGCCTTATAGCACAGAAACGAGAAAAGAAAATGACAGAATTTCAGAGTGGGAAAGAACTTCATTGTGTCTAGTATACTCATTTTATAGTAAACTGAAGTCCAGAGAGGCCTTGCTGGGGCCTGTCGCAGCGCTGCTTTTCCTCACAGAAGTTGATGCTAGCTTGTCCCACAGATCCTGGCTCGTTCTGCAAAGCCAGTGTTAAACATGAGTAGTTTGGAAGGGCACTGTCATCATTGTACAGGACTTGGTGGTTCATGAAATGGTCTGCAGTGACCACTCGTGAGGCCACAGGGCAGTGGCTCTCATTCTGCAGCAAAAGGAAGCAGCGGGGGGGACCAGGAGACGGCGTAACGGTTATGTCACTGGACTCCTATGTAGTCGAATGCAGTTCGAGTCCCGGACCCAGAGGCTTAAAACACACCAGGCACGTCTGTGTATGTATCCAAAATCCTGGGAGGAGAATGGAGAAGGGATTGTGGTGTGGCCATCCCCCCGGGGGTGATGTCTTGCTTTCTGTCTCTGTCTCTCTGGCGAGCACACGTGCCCTATGGCAAAAATCTCTCTCTTAAAAAATAAAGAAGCGTCGGCTCAGAGGACTGAGCACGGTAAAGGCCTGTCTTGTGCGCATTTTCGAATTAGGTAGGAGCCCTTGGAAAAGATGGCTGGTGGGAACCGAGCGTCACAGTGCAGCTGGTCCTATTTGCTCTCCCTGTGTATGGTCTGGATGTTTTTGGTTGAAAACAGCAACTACCAAAATTTCAACCTGGCCTAAATGATCAAAAATTGGGAGCAACCAGCAGTTAGTGTAATGGCTATGTCGTTGGACTCCCATGTAGTCAACCGCAGTTCGAGTCCCAGACCCGGTGACTTAAACTCACGCCGGGTGCATGTGCGTGCGTGCCCAAGATCCCGAGAGGAGAACGGAGGAGAAGGGATTGCGGTGTGGCCATCCGCCCCAGGGGGGGTGTGTGATTTCTCACTTTCTGTCTTTCTGGCAAGCGCATGTGCCCTATAGCAAAAACCTCTCCAAAAAATAATAAAATGAAAAATAAGTAAGAATAGGGAGAGAGGAGAGTTATTGACCTCCTTGGAAAATGCCCGTGAGTGGCATGGTGCTCAGGGTTTGTGATTCGGTGGCTCACCAATGTCACCAAAGACTCGGTCCCTGTCTCTGCCATCCCTGGGTGTCATCCGATTACACCAAGAGCCATAGTCTCTGTCCCAGAGTCCTCATCATGTCATCGGGCACCGGACTGCCCAGGCCTGATTGACGTCGGTTGCGGCCAGGAAAGAATGCCCAGGCCTGATTGACGTAGGTTGCGGCAAGGGACGCAGAGGCACCCTGGATAGCTTAGAGGTTCAAAGCCTACCTGGAGCTGGACTGGCCTCCATACCCTGGGAGGGTAGAGTAGATGGTAGAAAGACAGACACGTCCTACGGAACCTGAGCTTCCTGGGAGCAGAAGATGCAGGGTAGAGATCTGCTGTCTTCCCCATTACCAGGCTCACGGCGGAGCGCCACGCTGAGCCGAGCGTGAACCCTGCCTCATACAAGCCTGCGGTTTTATCAGCACAGCTGAGTGCTGCAGCTTCTCACCTGGCAGAAGCAGCGGAGCTGGCGAGCTGGGAGCACTTTCAGTGTGGCACACGGGCTGTGAGTGACAACCTGGGGCCCCATGCGAGGCGCCATTGCCCTCGTCACCATCACCGCCTTCAGCCTTCCCGAGGATTCCGCTCTGCCGGGTCTGCACCGTCTCCATGCAGGCTTCCCTGGCACGCCTCTCTCTCCTGGTTTAGAGAGCACTGTGGGGAAACCTGTGTCTGTGACTGAGAGCCGAGGACATGTTCGTGATTAAAGTTCTGTGATGCTCCAGCCTGGGCCAGATCGTGTCAGGGAAGCGGATCCGGTCTGCTGCTTGCAAGGTCCTCCTCTGTGCTGGGACACTGTGTCTGTTCCTTCATGTTTTTGGTCTTATTTTTGTTTTTAAAGAACGATTTATTTATTCATTTTTTGGAGAGGTTTTTTTTTTTTTATTTCTTGCTATAGGGCGTGTGCACTCACCAGACAGAGACAGACAGACAGAAAGCGAGAAATCACCCCCCAGGGGGGTTGGCCACGCCACAATCCTTTCTCCTCCATTCTCCTCTCGGGATCTTGGGCACTCACCCACACACACCCGGTGTGAGTTTAAGCCACCGGGTCCAGGACTCGAACTGTGGTTGACTACATGGAGTCCAGCAACATAGCCATTACACCAACTGCTGATCCCAAAAGAACTATTTATTTTTATTATTTTAATTTGCTACAAGGCACACATGCTCATTAGAGAGAGGGAAAGTGAGAGAGAGTGAAAAACCAGGACTTGAACCGTGGTCAGCCATGTGGGAGTCCAGCACGCTGGCCACTGTGCCCCTTGCTGGCCCCGTTCCTTTGCATTGACTGGACATGGAAGAAGCTGTCCTGGAAAGCAGAGGGTTACCAAGGGCGTGTGTGTGAAGAGAGGGCCAACTGTCAGTGGTCAGGAATCAGTTTGCAGAGTAAGGTCAGCAGGGGTGTGGTGGCAGGGCCCAGGAGCCCCACTGGGCAGGTAGTAGGGAGCCACTGTGGGCTTCAGGGAGGGGGTGGGAGGATGGTCCCCCCAACACTGCGCAGAGGGGGCTGGAGCTGGCAGAGGCTGGCTGAGAGGTGAGGAAGCACTGACCGGTGTTCGGAGCAGGGAGGCAGCCTGAGGGCGCCCTCAGCCCGGAGCCTGCCTGGCCCTGCTGCTGGCCCTGGGGAGCTTCATCCCCTGATGTTTCTGTTGGCTTCTTAGGGGAGGAGGCCACCCGTTGCTGGAGGAAGGAGGTGGCCATTGCTTGGCGGAGCCTGGTTGCAGGCTGGCTTCTCCACGCTCCCTGCACTGACTAGGGGCCACGCCCTGGCAGCATCCAGCCAGGCGACCCTGGCGAGGGCACTTAACCTTTTCTCTGTCTCGTTAGCAGAATGAGGAAGGTGGATTAAATCAGTGGTTCTCAAACTTGTCTTAATGGTTCTGGTATTTTAGGCAGCAAGCCCCTTTCTAACAGGCATCCCGGGTTACAGAGCAAACAGAACTCTGCAGGTTAGGGCTGGGACGAGCGGGAAGGAGATAGAACCTTCCATTGGCATCATAGGGTCCCTCAGCATTGCCTGGCGCCCCTGAGAACCATGTGGTCGGAACCGTGTGATCAGATGGCCTCTGTCCCCGTGAGCATCTGTAGGTTCCAAACCAACCAGTAGGCTCTGGGACATGCCAGAGTGCTCATTGCCTGGATGGTGGCGGGTGGGCTGAGCCCCGGCTTCGTCCCCTTCCACTTCAAGATGTGGATGCTTCGTTAAAGGCTCCCTAGAAGAGGACTACCCTCCCGTGTGGTGCCCTCTCCTGTGGGCATGTTGACGTTGACACCTGTAGGCAGGAGTTCCCCGGGCGAGCTGAGGCCGGTGTGCTCCAAAGCTGCTCCAGGAACGTCTCTGAGTGACGGGGATGCTCTGCATCCTTCTGCCAAGCAAAGTTGGGAACCTCAGGGTTGTCGTTGACGGCCTCTGGAGCTGGAGGCCCCCGTGGCCTGGCCAGGACAGGCTCGCTCAGTGCTGTGCTCAGCCTGGCCACCCGAGAATCCTATGGCACGGAGACCAAGGCGGCTTTCTGTAGGCTTGCAGTCCCCAACTCATCCGGACTCTGCTGTTCCCTGAAGGAACTGGCCCAAATAAGGAGAGAGGAGAAGGAGAAGAAGCGCCGCCGCCTGGAGAGCATCAACACGCTGAAAGGGATGGGCTACTCGGTGCACGCGGCCAAGCAGGCCCTCCACCAGGCCAGCGGGAACCTGGACGAAGCCCTAAAGGTGAGGCCTCCAGCCTGCACCAGCGCAGGAACCTCCTGCAGCCACCCCTGCTGCCCTGACTGTCCGCGTGCCCGCTCAGTGCCTGTGTGAGGCCTGAGGGCCAGCTCTCTCCCGTCCGCGGGCCCAGTGACAGCACCGGGCTCAGTGGCTGGCCAGGCTGCCTGCCGTGGGATAGGGCACCGCGCACACATCCCAGCTGGGACTTGGCGCGTGGTCTTCTCGCACGGAGGAAAGTGCTTACGTAAACAGGCGGTGCGAAGGAACCACAGTCACTGCGTGTGATGTCTTCGAATTAGTTTCTTTCTTTGATGAGAGAGAGACAGCACACACTAGCAGGGGCTCGCCCCCATCACCTCGGCCTGGCCAGCCCAGGGCCCAGTGACAGCCCGGGGCTCAGGGGCTGGCCAGGCTGCCTGCCGTGGGATAGGGCACCGCGCACACATCCCAGCTGGGACTTGGCGCGTGGTCTTCTCGCACAGAGGAAAGTGCTTACGTAAACAGGCGGTGCGAAGGAACCAGTCACTGCGTGTGATGTCTTCGAATTAGTTTCTTTCTTTGATGAGAGAGAGACAGCACACACTAGCAGGGGCTCGCCCCCATCACCTCGGCCTGGCCAGCCCAGGTCAGGCACCCGCGTGCTTCGTGTCTGGGGAGGCCTTGGGCATGGCCAGGCAGGCCCCCTGTGCAGGCCCAGCAGTGTGGAGCCACGCATCACCACTGCCCCGCTACCTGGGCCTGGGTTCCGTTTTTAATTCAAATACCCGTTTGATTTATTCAGTTCCTAGTGTATGTTGGCAAGGGGCTTTTTAAAGAAACCCTTAGAAGAGACAGAGCAGGTTGAGACCCAGACCGGGAGGAGCCTCCCTGGCCGCCTCCTTCCCATCCTGGCGGCGGAGGCAGACGACTATGGAAGATGCTCTGCCTGCCCTCGGCCCACAGAGCAGTGGGGACAGACGTGGAGTCAGGAGGGCCGCCCCAGGGGCATCCGGGCAGAGTTGGTACTGTGGGCAGCGGGCCAGGCTTGGTTCAGGGAGGCTTGGTTTTCTGGGCAAAGGCAGGGGCAGCGTGTTGGACAGGAGGCCCCAGCTCACTTGCCTGCTGGCAGGGGGCCAGCAGGGAGGGGGCAGTGTGGCCAGAGTGGGGCTGGACGGGCGGCAGCTGGGCGGGCCCTGGGAGCTGGTGCTATAGGAGCAGCCCGGCATTGCCTTTGTCCCCGTCCTGTTCCTCAGAGGTCAGGGTTTTGGTTAATACATATTTTTTCTTTAATTAAAAAATGTTACTTGAATATCTAGTTTGACGTTTTGTGTTAGAAAAATATAAAAGACAGGAAAATCTGAATGTCCAAAAGGACTGAGACGGCTCTGAAACAGCGCTTCCTCATCCGAGTGGTACAGAAGCACAGGACCACTCTGGAAGCGCCCGGGTCAGAAGGTGGACCTTGTGGAGGAGTAACGGGTCTGACGCTGCCCATGGTGTCGCGCCCAGCGGGCATGGCACCTCCTCGTGAGCCTTCGGTCTGGGGTCTGCAGCCTCAGCCTGGCCACGCTTCTGTTTCTGGACCGCTCTTTCACCCAGTGTCCCCGCCCCACTTGCCCGGCCCCACCTGCCCTGCCCGTTCTGTCCTGCCTGGCCCATCCTGCTCTCAGCCCTGCTCTCAGCCCTGGGTGCTGCCAGCTGCCCTGGCCCGGAGCCCCCGGGAGGAGGCTCCTTTCTGGGCTTCCCCCACCCATTGCACGTGCAGCCCCACCAGACCATGAGGCTCGTTTGTCCTTGAGCCACAGAGGATGGCTGTGTCTGCCCAGCAGGGATAAGCACTTGTGTGGGGTGGCCAGCTCGAGTAAGGGGTCGGTGCCTGTGTTTCTAGATCCTTCTCAGTAACCCTCAGATGTGGTGGTTGAACGATTCCGACCCTGAAACCCGCAACCATCTGGAAAGTCCGTCCCAGGAAAGCGTCAACCAGGTGAGTGGCCCTGCCAGGGCCCCCCAAGCAGGTGGCAGTGGAGGGGGAGGCAGAGCAGGAGGCATGTCCTTAGTCCAGGAGGTGAGAAAGCGGGGACCTTGCTCCTCCCGGGGCTCGGGGTCAGCTGCCGCCTCCTCTGTTACACTGCTCATGTTAGCCTGCTTTGACCTCACCTCCATTTTTCTGCCTGGACCTAGGTGGGTGTCACTGGTGTCCATCCGCCCCTGCCCTCACCCCACACCATCTGGACCACCTGTGCCTGGCCCACACTGGCCACTGCTGATGGTGCTCCCCGCCCCCAGGTCATGCCTGTCCCGAGATCATGCACGCGGACCTCTGACTCAGGTCCCCTGAGGGCCTTTCCGGGTTGCTCCCCATTCTTGGTGCTGAGAGTGGCCTGTGCAGAGGAGGCGGTGGTTCCATACTGGGCGCTCCTGCAGACACGAGCAGGCTGTCCTGTTCGTAGCCTGGGGTCCTGGGTGCTGGGCATGGGGCCGGAGGTCAGTGCCCACACCCTGAGCTGACCGCTCCCCACGACTGTGCCCTCCCTGTGTCCTCTAGCTGGTGTACATGGGCTTTGACACAGTGGTGGCCGAGGCAGCACTGAGAGTGTTCAGAGGCAACGTCCAGCTGGCAGCCCAGACCCTCGCCCACAATGGGGGCAGCCTCCCCGTGGACCTGCAGCTCTCAGCGGAGGACTTGTCGTCGACACCGTCCACGTCCCCTTCTGACTCGGCAGGTAGGCCAGCACCCTGGGTCCCTGAGAGCCAGGCGGGAGGCCGACCACGAGTTGCACCCCTGAGGCCGCATTCCCGGCATCGAGGTGCAGCCCGCACTGGCAGTGGCCTGTGGGAGGCCACTCACTCCTCCTGTGCTGTACTGCAGGGACCTCCAGTGCCTCGACAGACGAAGACATGGAGACAGAGGCTGTCAATGAGATACTGGAAGACATTCCTGAGCATGAGGAAGATTACCTTGACTCGACTCTGGAGGATGAAGAGATTATTATCGCAGAGTACCTATCCTATGTAGAAAATATTAAGTCAGCAGCAAAGAAAATCTAACAGACAGTTAAAAAGTACCGGCTTGCTGCTTATAAATTCTATCGTTACAAAATTAACGCAAGTCTTCTTTTTGTTCTTTCATCTGTTTTTGCTCCAGGAGTGCTTGCTTCTGCCTCGGCGTAGTGGGCAGGCTGGTGGGGGCCAGGCCGCGGAGGTGGGGAGGCCGCCCGTGGGTCTGGGGGAGCCTGACCCTTCCTGCAGTCCTGGGCAGGAGCTTTCTCTGGGCTGCAGGTCCTCACCATGTGGAGCTCATAGACGGGGCAGGAGGCTGCCAGGTGGGCGTCAGCTGTCCCCTCCCCACCTCGCCTGCCTGCACCCACTGCTCCTCGGCCCCCTCCTTCCTGACGCCGTCTCTGCCAGGAACCCCACGGCTCCCTGCACCAGCCTCATCGTCTGCCCCTGAGATCCCATCTTCATTCCAAGTGCCACGGGGGTGAAGGCTGGGCCCAGGCCGCAGCAGCCGCACCACGCACGCGCACATCTCCGGCCCACTCTGCGGCTCGTGCTTAGTTCAGCGAGATGAGCGCTCGAAGATCCAGGTTGAATTTCAGGCTTCACGGGTATTCAACACCAAATGAACCTTTTATTAAACGGGAAGGACTTAAATACTAACCAAAGCAGCTATTTTAATTCATCTTTGTAGACTGGTGTCACGCTCACTGCTGGCTCAGACTGTTGGATCTAGGCCTGTCTTCCCCAGGCACCCCTGGGGCCTTGTCTGTGTGACAGAGGCCAGCTCCCGTCTGCGGGCGCGTGGTCAGCCCTACTGGCTCACAGCGTCTCCCGTGTGCTGGCTGCCCTGTGGGCGCATGTCCCGTGGGCTCTCAGTAGCACCGGGACGCAGCAGGCGTGAGCGGGCAGTGCCGGGTCTCCGGGGACACGTCGCCTGGTCCGGAAGTCACGAGCTCCCCTGACGGGACCGGGGCGTGTGTTGCTGTGGGGGCCGGCTGGAGCGCCATGTGTGGATAAAGCGGGCAGGGTTCCTGTCATTCTTTTTAAACGGAAGAAACCGTGGAAATAAAACGTGGAAAATGTACTTAAAAATCGCGGGCCTCTTTGCACGGCGTCGTCGGAGCTCTTTAGTGGCAGGTGTCGAGAACCTGCAGATGACCAGGCTCCACCGTTTGGTGGGGAATGGAAGTGCAGGTCTGGTGTGGGGACGTGTGAGGAGCAGGGCTTGGGGCGCTGGTGGGAGCAGCTGGAGCGAGGAGGGACTCCAGCCAGACCTGCAGGGTAGGCCCTGGAAGTGGCCAGGAGCCCAGCCTTGTTGAAGAGAGACTCGGTTTGGGGTGGGCAGGTGCCGCGCTGTGGTAAAGCCTCCTCTCCTCCTGCAGGGAAGGCCCGCCAGGGCACGTGGGCTGGGAGCTGGGGGCCAGGGTCCCCAGAGCAGGGCCAGCGGGGCCAGGTGACAGTGGGAAGGAGGGAACGCCACCTAGGCAGAAGGGGAAGGCCCTGGGGGCAAAGGCGCGCTGGCTCAGGTCGGTCCGCGGCAGGTGGTCCGCAGGGGCTCAGGCCGACTGCAGGGGCGCGGCGGCCACCTTGTTGCTGAAGAGGCGCGAGAGGCTGCGCTTGCGTGGCGTGGGGCGCGGGGCCCCGCGGAGGCCGCGCACGTCCCAGAGGCGCAGCGC